TGCACGAATGCTCGTGTAAACGCGCGCCATCTATCGTAGGATAAATGTACTTCGCGGGAGTGTATTAAAAAATTTAAAAAACTTTTCAAAGTTTTATGGCAATCGTACTATGCCACAAACCTTCGCCAGAGTATATTAAACAACTTCCCAAAGTTTCACGGCAATCGGATAAACGGTGTGGTAATGCATGAAGGACATAGGACACACACACAGACATACATTCATTTTTATATATATAGATAAGAAATAAGAATTGTTTTATGCATAACAAATCTTGACTTAGCAATTCATATCTTCAAATCTAAAAACTTGGTAACTGTTTTATCCCAAAACTTGAGTCAATTTCATTAGGAAGGATGTAACGAAATTCAGTAACATTCCAAGCAAAAACATAATTCATGATAATATGATAATAGAAAATAGCATTTATTCTTAAGCAAAAAATTTTAATTACATCCTGTGGGTAATCGTATGCAATAAATAGACATTGGGAAAGCACCATTAAGATGGCACTGAGATAGAAAATCAAACTTAGCCCTTGCTTTACATAATTTAAGGGTAAGTTTCTTATACTGTTTGGCCGGTGTAGCCATCAGTATACTTATATAACGAACTAAACTGGATAAATATACTACGAATAAAATGTTAATAATATAATTTAATTTTAATAATATAAAAGAATGACTTTACAAATTAAATTAAATTAAACTAAATTCATTTAATTTTGTATTATATCATAAATTCATTTAAATTTAAAATTAAAAAAATCATACCTTTAGCCTTCGAACTAAATCATCAGTACTTAAGTTATCATTTATAGGTCTCACCCCAAAGGGATACACTATTTTTAGTTCTGGCTTTAATGGTTTTGGCATGACTACAACATCTGCTGTTCTATATGAAACCTAAATATTAAATTTTTTTAAAAGAAGTGAATATATTAGAATAATTAATAATAATAAAAAATTTTTATTCTGTAGGGTTGGCCAATAAGTCCATGCAGTTTTCAGTAATAGATGCAGTAGACATTGTGTAAAACAACAAGCTTCAGTTCAAATTTTGAAAGCATGTAACCATTTGAAATTGACATTTCAATGTTCATTTTTCAAAAAAAAAATTGATTATGTTTTGTGTGTTTAACATTAATTGAAAGATGAATAAGCACAACAAGCATTTTCAGCTTAGTATGTTTTTCTTTAAAATGAAAAAAGCAAAAATATGGTACAAACCTGTAAAAAGGTATGTGCAGTGTAAGGTAAAGATGCCTTGAAGATTGTGTGTAACAGAAATGGTTTGCAAGATTTCATTCTGGAAGTTTTCTGTCTAACATAAGACATATCACACTCGGGCCAGTCACAAGAGACTGAAATCAACAAAGTGAAGGAGTTAATTGACTCCACGTTGCATGACACATGAGATTGCAGGCATTCTCAAATATCAAAATTGAGTGTGGAAAACCACCTGCATAAACTTGATTATGCGATCTCTTTGAATGCATCAATGATTCCCTCGGTAATTCACTAAGAAAACTAAGGAAAATTATCCATTTATAGAGTGGATGGTAACAGGTAATGAAAAATGAATCATGTATAATAATGTTGAGTACAAACATTCATGGGGCTGCTTGGCAAACCATCACAAATCACTTCAAAGGCAATGCTTCACCTAAAGATCATGTTCTCAATTTGTTGGAAATGGTAGGGTGGTGTTCTATGAATGCTTCCAAAGAACAGAAACAAAATCAATTCAGATGTGTACTGTGACCAGCTAGACAAATTGAACACAACAATCCATGAGAGACACCCAGAATTGGTAAATCACAAGTGTCATCTTCCATCATGACAACGCCAGATCTCACACCTTTGCAAACATGGCAAAAATTATTAGAGTGGGGCTGAGAATATTACTATATCCTATATGTTCACTAGATATTGTCCCCTCTGATTACCACCTGTTTTATTTTCAGAATTCCTTAAATGGACAGCACTTTGTTTCCGAGGAAGGCATCAAACAGCACTTGGAACAGATTTTTGCCACGAAAGACAGGAAGTCCTTGAGCAAGGAATTATGAAGCTGTCCAAAAATTGGCAAAATGGCCTGTACATTATTGAATAAAGTTATTGCTTCCCCTGGAAAAATTGTCTTTCATTTACACATTAAAAAACTACACAGACTAATTGGTCAACTCTATATATTACATAAATATATATTGTTTTTTACTTATGAACATCATTTTTATGAAATAGTTTTAAATGTTTTTTGTATCATACCGTAATTTGGTTCCGAGTGTGTCTTTATCATTAATTCGGTGTGGTGANTAAACGTGTACGTGTGACGTTCGGCGCCGCTTTCCCGTAAGCCTAAAAGTTTGACAATGGTATTTGGAATGTCGAGTGTGATTCCACCGACTATCCAAACACCATTGTCAAACTTTTAGGCTTACGGGAAAGCGGCGCCGAACATCACACGTACACGTTTACACGTTTAAAACGTGCGCCTCAACCTCTCTATTAGCTTAATGCATTCTCCTTCAGAAAATTAATGGAGAATGTCTTCCATAATTTTCTAGTGACATGGTTTTTCAAAGTTCAATTTTACTACAAATTCTATAAAGAAATCTATTATAGTGAAAGATTTCTTTAATAAAAAAATTTAATGGTACATTTGAATTTATGGCTTAGTAAGAAGTTATATGATAAAATCAAAAAGAGTTAACAAATTAAATTTTATAGTTAATCAATCCCCTTTTTAAATACTAAATGATTCAATTCATTCCAAAGGATCTTAGTGAGATTAGGACCAAAATCCTTTCCTAGAAAACCTCTTTTTTGAATTAGTTGTATCTTCAAACTACTCCATCAGAACACAAAATATAACAGAGCATATTCTGTTGATAAAGACACTGGCCTTTTCCAAAATGCTACTACAATTAAAAAAACATGACTATCCAAGATGTCAACATATATCATGGCAATCATTATTTTGTCCAAATCAATCAATCAATGTAAAACCAAATCATAAAATAGCTTCAGATTACCTTACCTTCACCAAATTTCATTACTGGAGTGATATATTTAGGCAAGGAACAATTCATTATACATAGACACTTATTAGACTGGTGAAGAAAAACCCATATTTTTTAATTCATCACTCTAAATCATAGCATTATATTGCTATATGAACTAAAAATGACAGCAGCACATAGCCAGCTGTCGTATTGCCTTACCAGGTAATATGATAGCTGGCTGAGTGCAGCTTTGTAGATGTTATTAGGCCGTGGATGTAGGAATCATCCCTCAGCCAGTCCCGTGTTCGACCAAGTAAGGTTATATCTAAATTAATATACCTCTGGAAGCGAGGACTTGCAGGGGTCTGGGCAGCGCAACAGGCAAGCGGAGGTTGTGAGATCAAGCCCTGCACCGAATCAGTTCTTTTATTCCAGGTTCTAAATTATTTAATAATTTATTAAAATTTATAATTATTAATTTAGTTAAGAGATGGCTACCTCTGATGACAAATTACTTTATATTAATCATTTAATTATCCAAATTCTAGCCCAATCTTTCAGGTGATCATTGGATGTTTCATTATAACTCATCGGACTTTAAGATGTTTATTATATATATATATATATACCTTGCCAGGTAATACAATAGCTGGCTGAGTGCTGCTGTGTAGATATTATTAGGCTGTGGACATAGGAGTCATCCCCAGCCAGTGCTGTGTTCACACTATTATATATAAACAATATATCTATAAGTACAGTAATACCTCGACTTATGCTACCCTGACTTACGCGAACCCGGAGTTACGCGATTTCAAATCTTGTCGATTCATCTTTTGTTTGAGCGCCATGCAACTTTTGATTACTCACTCCCCCCACACTATTGTTCAGCTTACATGTTCGGACATGTCGCGCGGAATCGACACACAGCTACAATTTATTTTGTGTTATTTATTTCTGTGTTTGTTACATCTAAGGAGACTTGAGAGACAATATGTGGTGATTTCTTGTAACCGTGAACGAATCAAAAGACGAGATAAGATTAACGAGAGCATTTATTAGCTTACATACATCCAACTTGGATTTTACACAAATTGCAAAATTATACCCCGACTTATGCGAATTCGACTTACACGGTTATTGCTCGGTCCCACCTATCGCATAAGTTCGGGGTATTACTGTAATCAGACTTATTAAAAGAGGATACCCCTGTTTAGCAATAAGTAGGAAAAATTTTATGGAAAATACAGTTTTATCATATAATAATTGCATTGTTTTATACTTTTAAACATTCATTTCCAACTCTTATTGATCCTATGAACAACAGTTCTCCAAAATTTTCTATTTCTGACAGTTTCTTTAGTTTTCAAGCTGCATGTTGATGTCAATTTTAATAGTATTTGACCATCTTATTTTTTGTCATCTTTTTCTATTACTTCCAATTTTCCAACCATCATATCCTTATCAGAAGGAATCTCAAATCTCATTACATATCCAAAGTACATTATCTTCTGCTTAAATGTAGTTGATTCTAGTAAGTAATCAAGTTGGACTTGATCTAAAACTGACCAGGTTATCCATTCAGTAATCCATGGTATATAACTATTTCTTTCAAACTTACAGTTCAAAAAAATCAGTTTTCTAAGGTTTGGCTTTCTTTTAAGGTCTAGCTTTCACATCTGTATGTTGCTATTGGGAAGACCTTTGCTTTAACTATTTCGATTTTTCTCATCAAAAAATTACTGCTAAATTTAGATGGTAGTTTATTTTTCTCTTCAATCCAGAATTCTGTATTTTATTGTGTTTTCCAGATTCATCATAACTTTCCTATCAAGTAAAATCTTTATATCAGCTCTGAAAAAAAACATTTTCCATACTGATCCATTCAATTTCTCTACATTCAGTTCTTACTGTTGCTTCTTAACTTCGGTATAGGTTCTTTAGTAGACAGATAAGATGAATTAGAGTACCCATATCTTTCAATGTAGAATTCCATAACTGAATACTTTATTCAATGAAACAAAACCAAGCTTGTTTTTGACCTCTAGCATGCTCTATTATCCAAAAAAAATTGGTTATTTAATCACATGTTCCTCTTCCCTTTCTGAATTCAGCTTGTACATCAGGCAATTCTCATTCCACATATGCTTGAAACCTTGCTTGTATTATCTTCAACAGTATTTTACTAGCATTAAAATCAATGTAATTATGCAGTAGTGCAACAATCATTCTCTTGTGTAGCTTTTCTTTTCCTATGGAATTGATAGAAAGATTAACTGGATATTTCATTGTTTTCCATATATCTACAAAACTATTAACTGATAATCATCATCACCATCTTCAGTAATATGTAAAATTTCAATTGGTATATTATTAGCATATATTATTTATTTTTAGTAATGCTTTTTAAGACTCATCAAACTTCATCTATGTTGGATTCTTGTTCAATTACTATTTCTATACAAGCATTATCATAGAATCTCTTCAATATAGTCCTTCTCCAGAAATTTTTTCATCTTGTTAAAGATCCCTTGTTTTTCCTTTTTGATTATTCTCTCTAATTTCTTTGCATTTTTATTTCTTTTGCTTATATTTGGAATTCTGCATTCAAATCCTTCAAATATATTTTTATCTCTAATGTTCTTGCATGTCTTCTCATATCAGTTATTTCCAATGTAGCTTCCAATAACCATTTAGCCTCCTTACTCATAATAGTTGGTATATTATTTTTTTCTTCCTCCAAGATGCTAACCTGTATTTCAGCCACAGTTCCTCTAGTTGTCTGTTTATCATATTTATTCTTTCATATTTACATTTCACTTCCATTTGCTTATACGTTGGCCTGAGGCTTTTATTCATCTTCAATTTGGTTTGAAATTTGTCTATTAGAAGCTTGTGACC